GAGCTTTTAATCACAAAGATCTGAGACATAAAGTTGATAAGTCTCATGTGTCTGTAGTTTAGTAGCTGTAGAGCTCCTTCTTAAAGAGGTCTTGCAGTGAAGTACTTCTACTTTCCCTATTTCTGTCGCCAAGCATTAATGTGAGCATTACTGCGTTCCGGTTTTAAAGAATAAGGGTGCTGGTGAAATTACAGGCACATGGTACTTGTCAACATATTTCAGGTGACAGGCGCAGTGGCAGTGCCCCTCATATCTTTGCGATTTAAACCTCTAAGTGGCACTGCAATTGTTATGGACAAGCGTGTAGCTTACCACCAAGTGCACGATTTGTTCGTCCTATCACTTGATATTATAAAAATAAGTTTCACTATTATTCATACCCTTCAAAACCGAAAAGCAGTAATACTCACATTAGTAGTTGGCGGCAGAATTAGGTACAGTGGCAATACTTCCCTGGACGAATTCCTTAACAAGGCGTTCTACAGCTGCTTAAAATATATGGAATTTGATTTATGGAATTTATGGAACACATTATGAAAGGTATGGCGAGGAAAAAGCCCTTTCTCACAAGTATTCTAATATACTTCTACAATAACCTGTGCCTACGACACACACACTGGAGCAAAAATTCTGGTTTACATTTGTGGTTAATTTGTGGTTAATGGCCATTATAGCACAGTAATATCTTCCTTTAAGAGATCCTATAGAATAGGTCTTTAAACTCTTGCAAATTAAAATTTATGCTACGTACTTTAAGAACGGTCCAAAAGTACAGCACAATTGTACTTATTCAATCCATTAAATCAAATGACGTGATTTCAATTAACAATTTATTGTAGTGTATATGAAATCACCCAAGCATTATTTAGCAAGCATTCTCTCTAAGTACTCTACCACATATATCCACTAGCATAACAACGTATTACCATAGTAGCACTCTCATTCCTGATTCACTCCACCTGTATAGCTAATGTGTCACTTCCCGTACATTACTCCCCCACTCAATATTAGTTCCCGAGACATTACGTCATGTCACGTCTTAAAGCTTAAAACATGTACAAGGTCCCTGTAAACAGATTTCGAAGCGTTGTGCGCTTATAGACAAGTTTGAATGCTTTCCCGTGTACCTATTATCGTATCAAGAAGGCTCTCGCCCGGCAAAACGGAAAAGACGCACAACGCTGCGCCCGAATTATTTGTAGATTGATGGCTTGTTGCCTATAGTATATTTATCTACCTATTTAAGTAAATAAATATTTTTTTATTGTTTTGATTGGTTCAGCACACTAAACAAGCCTCATTTAAGAGTGGTTACACACAGCGACTTTTTGCAGCAATGTAAACGCGCGATTGCATCGCTACACTTGCAATTTATAGGCGATTACATCGATGCAAACGCGCAACTGCATCGCCAATCATCTATCGCTATCAAAATTCGGCGTGTGTAACCGCTCTAAGAGCCATTTGTTTGTTCAATAACGACAGTTTCCAATTGAATATTTTGAAGATCACAATCTTTGTCAACAAAGATTAATAATTGACAATGACAGTTACAGCAAACTCTTACAAATCTTTTTATATTTATTTACATCTATTAGTTTTACCTTTTTAAATTTAACTGTACCTGTAGTTTTTGCCTTTTTTATGATGTATTCGGTTAGTTATAAGTTAATTTTCTGTTATAGCCGCCTTAATTTTTTGTACATCGTGTAACTTGTTTAATAAACTCTATAAGTATATGTTGTCTGGTATCGCTCACTGATCGTAAGTATCCGAACTACAAGAGGCATATAATGTTCTCGAAATATTCAAATATCATTAGGAAAATTCGTGATACAAAGAGAATTCGATTGTTGAACACCAACTAGTGCACATCAATATAGCAGTCGCATACAACCCCACAATCAGCGTATTCATTACGAACAACAGGCCTAATATAATTACTGATTTATAGCTCAGCAACTATAACTTAACGAACACAATAACACTGCTACGCTTTCCCTCCCTATATTATGAACAGGGTCCCACGCAGGTATTAAGGACCCCACGTCAACGTCACGCTTAATTCACAAAAGTCAGTCTTTCGCTTTTGCTAAGATTACGTATACAAAGGTCTTATTGTTTCTTTAAATTGTTGTCAATACTGGTGTTTTTTTTCCTGAGTAAAGTAAAAAATTATTCCATAATATGTAACGTTAATTTCAAATACTAAATGAATGTCGCACATACATGTGGCGACACCACATCGGGGCGTTGCTGGCTGAGTGCACCCCTGTACACGTCTTCGAACACGACACACTGCGACACGTACGCGTTTACTATTGTATGTAACCCGGTTAGGTAATTTCGGTACATGCTTCTAATCCAATTAGCTATTAAGATTCGTGGCCCGAATATTAATTCGACTCTGATTCGGCCGGATTGTAAGAAACTTGGAACTGTAACCTTATGTACAATGAGCATGAAGAAATATTCTTATGGAGGCTTGTTTCTATTGCGGAAGGCACACCTGCCTTTTTGGTACGTGAGGGTCACAGTACGGTAGTGGTTCGCCGTGGTCACGTACCAAATGCCGATAGTGTTGTTATCGATTGTGTTTACGATTCTAAGATTAATACTATACACGTTCTCGTTGGAACATTTCACAACACCGCCTGAAGCGAATGTTTCAAGAAAATGAAGGTGTCGCTTTAAACGCCTTGAAGTTTTCGAGATTTATCACAAATACTTCGAAATGAAATCCCGTCGCGTTAATTGTGCTCATAATGTACTTTTTACTTCATTAATGTCTTTGGAGTAACTTTGAAAAGGCTTTCAGGCTGGTTATAAAGTTTTAAGGTTGGGAGTTATCGTATCTTCTGCGTCATCGATTAGAGTCAAGACAATCATAAAGTTGAGAGACAGAGAGTAACCTAAGCTTTCGTGAGTCGGCCCTCACCTCACTGGTGGCGGAATTAATTGACGCCATCGCTTTGAGCAGCCGTCGTAATTTATCAAACAGCTAAACAAGCTGAGAGGTGAACACTATTTGCCGGCATTCGTGACTGCTGAGGTTTCACGGATCACCTCCGCAGGTGTTTATTATGAAGCCGCAATTTCCTTGTCAACTGGAGTGACATTGCTGACAAATTTGTGACAAATGGTTGGTTTCGTTCCAGGGACCAATTCTCGTAACTACGGCATTTTCTCGATTCCGAAATAATATCTACTGAAAGTACAACTAAAATTCTTGCTATCGATATTAATAGAGAAGCTAGGTCACCAGGTTTTGTATAGTCTATTAGTCGTATTTAGCAGCAGTAGAGCTCCTTGTGAAAAAGTTCACCCTGGGAAGTACTGCCACCTTACCTATTTCTGCCGCCAAGCAGTCATATAAGCATTACTACGTTCCGGTTTTGAAGTGTAAGGGTGCTGGTGAAATTACAGGTACATGGGACTTTTCAACTTTTGTCTCAGGGTGATGGGCACAGAGGCAGTGCACCTCAGATTTTTGCCATAGTTCTGAGCGGCACTGCAACTGTTATGAACAGGCGTGTCGCTTACCACCAGACACGCGACTTTTTCGTCGCATCACTTGGTATCATAAAAAAGTGCACGTTCCGTTACAATGGATTGTATCCGTAACGTAGTCGATAATGGTTTTTTATTGTTAAATGGTGAGCTGACAAGTCTGTTTGAAATAATTTAATGCAACAAAATGCAACGATGTTTCTTTTCTTTTAAAGTGTTATATCTCCATCGATACGATCGATGATTCCGCCAAAGTCAAGTTTATTACCTAGAATTTGACTGGTGTTTTTTCGATAGCAGACCTCACTTAGAAGAAGATCTACAACAGCAGTTAACAGATTTGACATATTAGTCAAATTTATATCAACTTTTACCATACGTATATGTGATGTACATTGCTATATCTGTATCGTTTTTATACGACTACGAGCGGTTACACATGGCGACTTTTAGCAGCGATGCAAACGCGTTGCAAACGCGTGACTGCATCGATACAAACGCACGTTTGCATCGCTATACTTGTGATTTATAAGCAATTGCATCGATGCAATTACGCGTTTGTATCGCATGTCGATGTAATCGCATGTTTGTATCGATGCTGTCGCGCATTTGCATCAATGCAATCGCCTATAAACTTCAAGTGTAGCGACGCAATCGCGCGTTTCACGCGTTTGCGTCGCTGCTAAATGTCTCCCTGTGTCTTACTCTTAGCGTGCAATTTCCCGATCTGGCAGTAAAAAGCAATAGTGCTTCTACTAACTCATTGTATGTCGAGCGCGGAGTGTTGTCTATCTATGTGAGTGAGATTCTGAGAATATCAAATCTATTTTCGACCGGCATCGACATCTTTTTCATTATTTTATGAAATATTTTTCTTGGTACAAAAATCGGGTCTCAGGTGTACCATCTTCGTACCTACGATTGCTTGAAAAAATCATTTTTATTTCAAATACATCATAGCTATGCTATGTATGCATAACTAATGTGCAAATATAGCTATTTTATGTTTATGTATACGATCAAGTACCAACCGAAGTGCTACCAATTCAAATTAGTTTACAGGAAATTTCTAATGCATGATTTTCAAGTTTCTAAGTTCTACAGTGCTTAGTAACTACCTCTACGGAGAACGATATATTTATCCTACAAAACTACTGCAATTAACTACGTGGATTCCAGTAATACTGATCATTTTATAATACTATAGTAAAGTAGCCAATTCACTATTACTAAAATACCTTTCAAAGCTAAATGTCGTGTTTTTTATGTTTGTACCCTAAATACTAATAACCTGCTTATATTAAATAGTTTTTGCTAAGTTGGATTGAGTTTAGTGATTAAAAATGAATGAGTAGGTTTATATGTCTTAACATATTATAAGTTTTATCAATAATTCAGCTACATATTGGATATACGAAGTCTTCGAGTAAAGCCTTTGGTTAGTATCCTACATTCTCATTAAAGTATCTAACAAGCAAGTTTTGTTTCAGACGAGGGTAAAATCCACAAAATCGTTCAATGGACCCGCAACGGCGACAGCCAATCAGCATTGCTCGACATCTTCGACGTCACGCCCGGTGAACCCATCCAGGTAGTGATCGCGAATAAGTTAATTAGCGGAATAATTGGACAGTTACGAACAAAGATGAGAAAATAAAGAAAACCTGGGAATAATTAGTGCTACGCCGACGTATCGCGTAGCGCTGTGCTACGAGGTCGTAGCTATTAGAAGGGTTGACTCAATCTTGGTATAAATTGTAATAAATAGAACCACAAAAAAACTTTCAGTTGACGTGAATATGCATTGTTTTTTGTATTCGCTACATGTTCTTTTGGTAACTAAAAGAATATATAATAGGGGTTAAAGTATGAAATTGCCGATTTGTACTGAAAATCTAAATTGTTTATTTTTTAAATTTTTAACAAATTTATTTAATCAAAATAGTTGCCATTATTATCTATACATTGCTGCCATCTAATGGGAAGGTTATAATGCCTTTGCGATAGAACTCCGACGATCTAGACTGCACAAACTGTGTGAAAGCATTTTGTACTGCCTCCTGGGAAGAAAACTTCTTGTCACGTAGATAATTGTCCAAATCACGAAAAAAATGGTAGTCCGTTGGAGCAAGGTCTGGTGAATACGGAGGATGACGAATGGTTTCTAACTGCAGTTCCTGAAGGGTCAAAATGGTTTCTCGTGCTGTGTGAGGTCTCGCGTTGTCGTGGAGCAATAATGGTGAAGATCGATTCATGAGTCGGGGCTGTTTTACTGCTAGTTTTGTCAACATGGTTCGGAGTTCGGCACAATAGACATCTGCCGTTATTGCTTGACCAGATCGGAGAAAACTATAGTGAATAACACCATGCTGAGACCACCAAACAGTTACCATTACCTTTTTATTGGTAAGTTTTGCTTTAGGACACTGTTGTGGCATTTGACCTGGGGTCAGCCATTGCATTTTTCTTTTCCGGTTATCATAAAGAATCCACTTTTCATCACATGTTACCATTCGATCCAATATTCCTTCATTTCTGTACCGGTTCAACAAGGCAACACAAGTTTCAACACGCGTTTCTTTCTGCAGATCAGTCAAATCATGAGGCACCCATTTTTCGTATTTTTTTATTTTATTGATTTGACGCAAGTGAGTCAATATTGTGGGTAAGGTAACGTTAAACCATGCCGCTAATTCCTGGGTAGTTTGACTAGGATCGGCTTCCACTATCTCTCTTAATTCATCGTTATTCACCTGTGTGGGCGGTCTTCCTCGTGACTCGTTCTTTAAGTCGAAATTTCCATCACGAAAGCGTTTAAACCAAAATCGCACGGTGCGTTCATTAGTAGACCCCTCTCCAAACGCAGCATTGATATTGCGGGCTGTTTCTGCCGCGTTAGTTCCGCGTCGGAACTCGTATTCAAAAATCACTCGAATTTTCGCAGTATCCATCTTTCTTGTCTAAATTGAATAACAAAAACAATTGAAAGTCGATATTCAAATGTTTCAAATTTAAAAAAAAAATCACAGAAGCCATTTGAAAAAAGTTTCATTCGAAAACCTCAAACCATGAAGATTCTATGAAAATTCAAAGAACCTATTGCAATAAAACGGCAATTTCATACTTTAACCCCTAATATATAATAGAAATGGAGTATTAATTCTAAGTAATAAAAAGGAAAAAAATTTACTTATCATTATTTAATCTTGACATGAAGCGTAGAAGTTATCATAATTATTATTATATTAGTTATTATTCACCAGGCAATGGCCCTTTCTCGAACCCATGGGTCACTGTACGCGGCTTCCGATCGACGAGTATTGCAACTACGACTGGCGCTATGCGCGCGGCGCTACGACGCATGCGTGAGGTGCGCACGCGATCCTTACTGCGGCTGGGACCGTGACGCCGGCGTCTGCAGAGAATACATGCCTGGGTTAGTATTTTACACAATTAATCCAATTAATTAATACTCAATAAAATCTGACAAATCGATCATCAAATACAGCTAAGAACTGCACTAACGAACGCTTATGTAATTCGTCTGAAAATTTAACCATTAAAAATGTACCTACCTTATCTTGTAAACGTCGCCGCCCCAATCCTAAACCTGTTAAAGAGGTTTATGGTTAATAGTAATTTAAAAATAGTCAATCTACATAATCACCTTGGGAGGCGGCCCGTCAAACACACTTCCATTCTCGTGAAGTGCCAGCAACTTCATACTTCGTACAAGACGCCTGACAGCTGCAATTGACAGCTCAATTGGCTTACCGACGATTTCCTGCATGTTTAATGTGCTACTTATCGATTCCAAGCGTTAGTAATTATGGAAAGTGTGACTGCGGAATAGGAATACAAAATGAAAATAATCTTGTAAATCAAGCATTAATAACGCACGCACGCAAGCATTACTCTTTAAATATATAAATAATTTTATTTGTCAAACAGACTCATTCAAGATGTAGCAAACGAGACAGCGGATATCTGTGATAGTTCAATCTCACGCAAGAGCGTGTCAGCTACATGGGGACAAAGCTTGCACCTCGGCAGCTTCGTCAAAATGCCCGAAGTACTGCACCCTCGCGCCGTCTCCTGGTACCATTATTCTAGAGACAAGGGACGTCACCCAATTACCTTCAAGTAAGTATCTTTTTGAATCTTCATTGTTTAAAAAATTGGTTAACTTCAAGCCATTTGGCAAAGTTCGTCCATTGCTTTCAACCGCATGATCAAACCATCACAAATCACATTCTCGTAGATATATAAACCGTAACATTCCATCTCAATAATTTAACGCAATGCAATTCGCCGACGGCGAATTTACAGCGCAATAAATGCAAACTAACTTGCAAGATACATTCAAATTACTTTAAAACGGCCTCGAATTTCTTAAACACTTGAATTAAACACGCATGCAACAACATTCATTAAGCTGTATCCAAATCTACGTTATCGCACTTCCGGCATTAATTAAAATGCAAAGAGGGTCAGAATTAAGGTTTTGTTTACCCACTTCTCATTTATTTGCCTTCGGAATTTTACTATTAAAAATAGGGCGTGTTTGCAACTGATATCATAATTATTATGGAAAATTTTAGGTATCTAGTTTATGAAAAGGAAACTTGTTTGATACTTTAAACATAGAAATGATTGGGTTCCAATCCATGAAAAGTGAACCTTTTGATTCATTGATTTATTTCAAAGTGTTTTCCGCCCGCGGCTTAGTTATGCGCCCATGCAGGTTATAAACTATCTTTTCACGAAATGTGATTCAAAACCGTGAAATTGTTTCAGCTCGATTAAATAATAAACATCCATTTAAGTATTGAAACTTTCTCGTCTTTGTAATATTAACGCGACGGGTAATTTTTGCTAAACATTGTTGATAACATTAATTTTTCCATTTTTTTTACTTAAAATTAACAAAAACACTGTATTTTTATTACAGCAAACCAGAGAAATATATAGAGACGTCAGAGCACGGTTTGTTGATAATATCGGTGACCGAAAATGATGCCGGGCGATACGATTGCTGGCTCGGAGGGTCTTTGCTCTGCTCGTACAATATTACTGTGGATACACACAGGTAAATTACAAGCAGCATTTTTAGAAACATTATTTAAAGAACGTAGAAGGATATAGGATATCTGACATTATCGTGACTTTTTTCCAGATGTTCACCACCAGAAAAGAGCAACGAATATCAGAAAATATACTCCAATTGGTGTCATGAATTCGAAAAATATAAAAGTGCTATGAAAACGTGGGAAAGAAAACAAGAAGTATGTACTCATTATAATGACCTTGGAAAATATCATGCGCTAATTCGTGAATTAACATAACTCAATGTTTCTTTTCCAGCAATGCTCGCGGCAAAATGACTCCAATCAGAACACGCACCCCAATGAAATCGTGTGATAGCTTCTTAACATCGCCTATCTCATGTTTCAATCGGTTAACTACTATGCGGGAGCTATCCCTATTCCGTATGTATCAGCTGGCCTCAAATACTTTAACATATTTGCGTGAAGAAATCCGCAAAATAAAGTGATGTAATGACGACTCTGTGCAAGTGTTGAGCTCAATATGTGTATGCAATTGTGACTCCACTAGCTTTTGTAAGGACATGAAAGTGAAATAAAAATTGAAAATAGTAATCGTTCCGAACATTGAGAACATGAGAAGGTGATTGATTATTTAAATAAACATTCAAAATTTTTATGGACATTTTATTATTAATATTAGAGGAACGATTAAATGAGCGTTGTGAGTTACGTTGTTGGAAATGGAATGTAAAAATTTAGGAATCGAAATATTGAAATTGTAAGTACGCTTTGTTTGTTGGGTAAGAGGTATAGAGAAATTGTTAGATTTATGGAACGTAACTATTTTCGTAACCGCTCGTTATTCGTACGAGTGTTTATGCATTTATTAATTGTACTTGTATTGTTTAAGAATAAATTTTATTTGGGTAGTAATTTTTTACATTAAAGGTTCTAATTCAAGTTGTTTAAGCCCTAATTTCGTGTTTGTATCGTCTTTCGGTGTTGATAAACTTTTTTTTTATAGACAAAAGTATCAAGATCATTATCCCTTACTCATAGACTAATGAGTCTAAAGATACGTGCGGCCGCGAGTATAGCGCGGTGGCCCTAATTTGAAATCTCCGAGGGTTGTGGGAGGGTTTGCCTCATTATTTTTCCCCTATTTGTGTAAATAGTTACCTAATTTCATTTCGACTGTACCTACTAAATGTAAGTGTACGTATAGCATGCACGTCCCTTATTGTAATGAATATATTTTAAGCCTGTGATATATTAAGAAAACTCATTTAGAAAATATATTTTAAGTACCAATCGGGACTTTTAGGACCTAAATTTGTCACAAAAAAATTTAGAGTTATTCCATTGCCATTGTTATATTAAAATTTTGTAAACTGAATTTAATGTTTTAATTGACGATGGACTGTAGCTAGTTTGCAGTGTTTTAAAATAGTTTAGGGAACACATTCCACACCTTAGTTACTATTAAATATTGTGTTATCAGCAATAATTGAGCGTTTTTTTAGAAAATGTATATATAATGTGCAAATGTACACGAAATGCTCTGTGTGGATTTATGAAAAAGCATTCAAACCACTTGGCTTGCTAAAATATCCGGTTTTCGTGAACTTTTAGCAAAAACCACAGAAGATAAAAACAATGGAAGTGCCTTAAACCTAGATTACTATCAGAATCGCTGCCACCAAAACTCACACTATCATAATGTTAAATACTATGGAATCTTGGTAATGGTTTGCCGCCGTTTCTAATTTGAAAAGACGTAACAAATTCTGGACTGTTAATATAATTCAACAAGGTAAAGCCTGTTGGTATACCGTTGAAAGTAATATCTATTATTAAAATTAAATAATATTAAACTTAACGATAATATGGAACACCATTGTGATTAACATTATAAGTGCCGACTATCATTTTTGCACTCTAAAGTAGCGAAGTAAAGCATTTTTCCACCATAAATAACACGACCTTAACGTTACAAGCGAAAATGGCGGACTAAGATCAAATTTGCATCCACTAAGCACTTCTATTGTATTTATTGTTCTGTGGCTATGTAAAACAAAATAATTTGAAATAACGTCATGTACCCTGCCTTCGTAACAGAACCGCATAAATATTATAGATAAAGTAAATAATGTATTGCTAGCGTACGGACGTAGACGTTGTTTTGAAATTACCTCCGCATATTTTTGTACAAAGAATTCGATTTTAACAATTTCATAGGATTAGTGGAAAGTATCATCTTCACCAGTACCTATATTGCATGCACCTTTTCACCACGGGTTTTGATCGGCCTAGAAAGCTATACAATATTATTGTTCCATTTTAGCAACTTTCTTATTCCTTATATGGGTAAAAGCAGGTTTAGTTCATTTGAATTGAAACCACACACATTTCATACTTTGCCTGTACTCTATCTCCATCTCTACCTGTAGTACTCATGTGTAATTTTTGAATCATTTTTATAAATAATTTTTTTACCAATGGCATCAATTTGGTGCTTCATAATAAATAATTACAACGCTCAAAATGCACTGATTAATTCTATATTGTCTGACCACACCTATGGTGAAAAATATTGCACTCGGAAAAGTTTTTCGATCCCATATCATATATTAACTGTACTTAAGAGCTTGTACATAATTGTCATCATTTTCCTCATATTAGTAAGTGAATAGCTATCGAATATAAACTTGCATTTTATAAAAATAAAATATATTTTCTAGACTTTTTAACAAGACACCGTAAAAATCCGCTACCATTTCGATACTTTAAAGAGATCCCTAAACTGCTAAAATATGTATGTTCTTTATAACCTCACAATCAATCAAAATAATAGTTTTCAATATTAATAAGGTAATAACGCTCATAAGATAATATAAATAAATTATACTTACATAGTTTTTGTTAGCAAAGGCAAAAGTCATTTATACAAAATTGAACAATGAACCGTGATTACTGTAGTAAATAGCTAACTTAGGTGCTTCAAATTATTATTATTTCGCTTAACGACATGGCTTGAAATTAGTATACGTACTCTATTATTTAAATTTATTATTAATGCTCTCGTTTGCCAATTTTTTAAGCGTACGCTTCTGTTGTGCGCAAAATATATTATTTATTTCTATTTATTCCACGCATTGACATCGTTTTATACTGATTCCAAGCCATTCTCATATTACCAATGTTCTCTCATATCATGAATGTATATAGATCGAAATTATAGATTTAGTTATAAAAAGTAATCATGAGAAATATCTGAGCTTTGTCGTTTATTAAAATAAGATTGGGTACTTAAGTATTTAGTAATTAATAAGGATTTCCCACTCCCCGGGAAGGTCTTGCGCAATAATTATAGCTAATTACCTGTAAACCTAATTAATTTACCTTAATTATCTATACTAATCTGATAGCTCTGTAAATTCCACATGTTACTATAATCTTAATAAGTTAAAATTTCGAAATGTAGATTAAGATTTTATATAATAAACCTATTGAAATGTATCTTGCAGCATACTGAAGTTTTATTTCATCCTCTGTAATTTTATCAAGTTTTTAAAAAAGTACCTACTATGTCATATATTATAATTATTTAATCACCAATCGTAGTTATCTCGATTCAGTAAAATAAGTACATATGCGAAGCGGTCGGCCAAAAATATGTAAATAGGGAAATGCGCAAGTTTACAAAACAGATCGATCGTTTATCAATAAAGGCAGCACTCGAAAAACAAAGAGGAAATGTTTAAAATAGTGTCAATTCATCAAGTCGCATACCGGGTTGACATTTTCGTCATAACACGAGGGGTTCGCAGTTCTCCCTCGCGCGAGGGCCTATAAAAAGTAGGGCCGCGTAATTATATAGTGCCACTAAACTAATTTCACGATACATTGCCGACGAAATCTGTGCTTGGCACCGCCCCGCCCCGCCGAAATCCGATTTCTACTTCATAACGAAACGCTTGATTACTATTGTTACGTGTTATTTCCTATGAATTGCTAATGTCGTGGTGAAAATTGCTCTCAATATTTTATGGATGGTGAAATAAGAGAAATTAATAGCGACCTTCGCGTTTTCAAGGTTTATTTCGTGATTATATAGTTAATGATGTAGTTGTACGAAATAATTTTAGTAGCTGTACAGTGAAGGTCTAAAACTAAAGTTATTCCACTGCATCAACTCAAATGCAGTGCACTCTACCGACTTCGAATTGGCAGATTTTATGATAGAGTTCGAAAAATTAGAATTATGTCTTTAGAAATCTACATAGATGAATATTCAACAATAACAATAATAATTATAACGCACACATTCAACGTAGCCCCGCACTAGAGAAACCCTGTGTCGCGGGTGCCACGAACACACACTTAGTTTACCACAAATTACACCCAAAGTCACGAGAGAAATAAATGTAGGCTATGCAACTATTTCTCCCGCCCGGAAATCGAACCTAGGACCTCTGCGAGGCAGTCCGGCGTGATGACCGTTTACGGCCACGGAGGCAGTTAACAATTTAGGACAAAATGAAGGCACTCGTTATATAACTAAGAGGTTATTCTTAAAAAAAACACCGTGAAATTAATGAGATGTAAGTACTTACATATGGATGGATGCCTTAACCTTTAAAGCTGCTCAATACTCACGTATTGAATCTACTCAGCATAAGCACAGTATAATAAGAGCAAATAGGGCTCCCCGATAAAGCGGGGGTAGTCTACACGTCGGTTACATTACGTCTACTTAAATGTAAAATCACATAAGTGACATTTTCCACAAAAAAAATCTCTATATTACGTACTTGTTGTAAGAAAATCACCATCTTTCTGCAGATAAAATTCTTATTAAGGTCATAGCTTTTTTGTTATTGAGTTTCACATGCAGGAAGATAAATTAAAGCTTTTTGTTTAAAATGTCATTTATGTGATTTTACCTTTAAAGAGACGCTTATTTATTATTTTAGTTGTAGGTACAACTAAAATAATAAATACACAAGCAGTAAATATGATTTGAAAAAATTAAGGTGTTCATCACAATATTCTCGTGCTATGCAATAGGTAATTAAAGATTGATATTTGAATACCAGCATCGCGGTTTGGGATGCGTTAACTTATTGGTATATCGATTATGTAACTATGATAATAAAATAGAAATTAAATGCTGAGCAATTCTGAATTTGGGGCACTCTTATTCTAACGATCACAAACACAACAATAAATACGTCTACTATTAGATGTCATTTTTTAAACACCGAACGACCGCTTCATTTCTATAATTAATGTGCATGCGACAAACCGCGCTATGCAACGCGAATTCACCGCGAGATTATGCGAATGTGTGCGTTCGTACACGGTGTGCGGCGGGTGTGCACACATACAAGTCGCGCTGTTACCTTTGTATGGAGTTACCATACTTATCTTATTATTATATGGCATAAGGATGTATATAAAATTATTTTCTTGAATACCTCGCACTTACCAATTCAAAAAGCTAAAATGCTAGAATATACAGGATGTAATCGTTAAGTGTGCCCAGGCGATTATTCTATAAATATAATAGATATCAAAAAGCTTTAAACTGGTATTGATAATACGTTACCTAATGAATCAATCGACAACATTACACACTCTCATACATTTAATAATGACATTTCTAGAGAGGCTTTGGTTTTCCTACTGTAAGAGGTAACCATAAGTTAACAAATGACAAAACTGATACAAACAAAGCAATGTTAAAATTTTGGATATTCCCAGTTTTATTTTTATAAATCTATTGATGTCGATTTACTCATTAGGTAACGTACTTTCGATATAAGTATAAAGCTTTTTGATATTTATATATATTATATTATATTTATAGAATAATCGCTTGAGCACACTTACACTGGGTACGATGACACCCAGTATATCATTTTTCGTAAATTTACGTATTATTAATGATGATGTTTGACCATGACTTTCTATTATATTTGTGAAATTACTCCACTAGTTTGTTATAATTATAATTATAATAATAATAATACCGCACACTCTGAACATAGCCCCGCACTAGGGAAACCCTGTGCCGCGGGTGCGAAGGACACACAAATAGACAACCACAAATTACACCCAAACTCAGGAAAAAAATAAATGTAGACCATAGAAATATTTCTCCCGGCCCGGGAATCGAACCTAGAACCTTTGCGTGGCAGTCCGGCATGGTAACCGTTCGGCCATGGAGGCAGTTAAATACAAAGATCGAACACTTAGAAAAAATGCTTTCGATCCGGCTGGATTCAAACTAGCGTCTTCCAGCAAACCGTGCCAGACGTTACGCCAACTATGCCACGGAACGAACCAGAGGACCTTATGAATTTTTCTGCGTGCTTGTTGCTAATCTTTGTATTTGATTTTTTGCCGTAGCGCAAATAATGAACAAAAACATTAGTCGTTAATTCTAAATGGTAGCTGTAACTAGTCTGCCGCTTCCGAATGAACTGAATTGGTAAGAAAGCAGTTAGTGCAAGTCATCGTGCCAGCTGACCAGCCCGTTGCCACGTTTGTAATCGCGGAGCCAGTATACGGCACAATCTGCAATCTAATATGCAGAAACTTGTACTTTAATATCTACAGTTCCATAGACCAAATTACGTGGAATATGGGTATATCAAACATGTTCATAGATGTCGAAAATTTAGTCTCACATTGTCTAAATTATCTAATGATATTTATTTACAAAAATTTCGCAGTACAACAACTAAATATTCAGAAATTATTGCACACTGCACGAATTTAGTTTGAAAAACCACCCTCTACAAAAAACCTAAACAAATACAAACCACGAGTTTTTCATAATGGATTAATAATTGAAGGGATCCCTCCCTTGCAGAAAGCGTGTCTCTATATAAAATCCCAGACCTGCGCTGAGGCATGTAATGTTTCATTTCATGGTGCCGCCACACGCTGCGGATTTCGTCTCGATTAAGTAATTACACACGCGGAAAAACTAGCCCTTGTGTAGATTAGGGCTGTTTGGGATTTTCTGGAAGAATTCATTTGAACAACATTATGCGGATATCATATTTTCGACGACACAATTTTCATTGTCATCTTCCTTGTAATTTTTTTGTCACAATTAATATTCTAAGAATTGATATAGATGTTGTCGAGTCAAACTTGACAATTTAAATTCAACTTAATACCGCATTCAATAAAGACGGCCCACTGTCTTAAATAATTAGAAAATAAATGATTGCTATGTACAAAATTAGGTAAAACATCAAACTTAGCTTATTTATGCAGTGAGAACAATCTAACTTTGAATAGTTCCGAGTCCAGCATAAACAATGCAGAATTACATCGGTTTCAAACTAAAACCATTTGAAGCTTACACAACTGTGCATAATTCTGGAAACCAACGCGATAGAATCCGTAAATCAGACGCGGGTTTTGCGTATTTGCTATTCGGGATTACAGATTAGTATTCCGCTTAAATCAATGCATCCGTACCCTTCTCAAGGAGCTGAAGGGCACAAGATGTGGTCAGGAGCTTATTCTATTTTGTCTATGTATCAGTAGTGTTGTTGAATATGAATGTTATAGTCTGTCCGTATCAGAGCAACGCGTGCATAGATAAAGTAGTTGCTTGCAAGCTGTTGCTAGTGGCTAAGATCTCTTTGATTCAAGTTGCACTCGAGTACATGTGTGATAGCCTAGTTTACGTCCATTCTCCAATTATTAAAAACTGCGCCTTAATGGCGTTGGTGGCATTTTCAAATGAATGAAGGAAAACAACGCGATGAAACATGCATGTCAAATTAAGTTATGAAAGTGATTTTAATAAAAATAATAAGAAGAATTTATTCATAAGCACATTTACAATATAAAAAGGTTAATAAAGGTACAGTTTCGAAAATGTAGTGGAATCTATTACTAATGAAAAGGATGGAGCCTCAACACTAGATGGTGATTTCAGGTTCAACCTTGGTACATGGACATTTTGATGCCGAATTGCATGTAAATTACATCATTTTGACCCTACAACAAAAATATTGTGATTGATTTCAAGCCATGGAATTAGGGCCAGTTTTTAAACAGAATCGAGAGTCAGGTCAGGCACGTAATCCTTTATTACGAGCGCACGCGGTTCGCCCGCGGTATCCCACTCTCGTAAGCGCATTAGTCGAATTAACAATTAGTCATGCCCACGTCTGCCCGCGAAGTTTGCGCAGATTTACATAACAATAAAGCCCTTTCGCACTGCCTCCGATGGCTCTGGCGATTTTTTAAATTAATTGGATCGCGAACCGTGGAAAATTAGACGCACCCTCACTGATTTGTGGTCAGACTTTCGTGGAAATTGCGTTAGTTTTTATTGTTTTTTACGTCGTTCGTTAGTCAATTACTGCGTATTACGTCTCAAAATGAAAAACATTTTAGGTTAATACAAGTCATACACCCACTCTAAAGTTTTATTATTCGACCGGATAAAGCATTTAAAGCAAACGATCGTGAATGATTTATAAAAAATAAA